TTACAGATTATTCCATTGACATCTAACAGACAGCAGTATTCAGTTGAAATCTGAAATCTGCAGGTGAGTATTTATGTCAAAATAACAGATTAACGTAGTAATTTTATTTTTATCATCCCATAACAACCAAGCTGGATTTTTTTTTTTTCCAGAGTGAATGCTTCTTGCTATTTCTTTTAAAAATATAAGAATACCATACAAAATGTCATGCAGTTTCAAGGAGACTATTCTCTTTTTGAAGAAGTAGGAGGTGGGAGATTACTGAAAAGAGCAAACAAGCAAACTGGTTCATCGAGAATGGGAACAGTGAAACCTGGTTTCCTATGGATTTATGCTATGGGTTGAGCTCTATGTGGCTTCTCTCCTGCCTCATAAGGATTCTGCTTATGCTGCATAATTCCCCTCAGACCATTAAAAGGGTCTTCCCCTTATACCCAGACATGTGTTTAAAAAAAACATATAGCAACTTACTAGATTCTTTACTTTCTCCTCATTGTCAAATTGGCTACAATTGCCCGGGAGGTTCCACAAGCTATGCTAGCAGAGACAAAGGACTACATTCTTTGAAGGTTGGTTGGTCTCTGTTTACAACAGTAAATTGAATTTCACAAATATTCTCCATCTTCCATATAGAGGATATTTACAACATTTGATATAATTTATTTCTTATGTCTCTATTTCCAGGAAATACTTTTAGGAATTTCTTCTGTTCTGGAGAACACAACCACTGATGGAACACAAAGGATTTCTACTGCATGAACCACACACAAAAAATCCGAAGATAAATCACTGATAGAGGGAGTACCACAGTTTTCATCCAGAGGAGGCCCTGCATATAGCTAATGGCTTATCTCTCTAGGAAGTTTAAAATTAAAAACTGGCAGGCTGTAGATGCTCAGTGCTTATTCTCGGGCACCTGCTGATGCCATGATTATTCCACAGGCAAAACAAAGTCAAGTCAGAAATACCATCACTAATATCATTAGATGGCCAGTGGCATACTGCTAGGTCCACCAACTGTGAGCAGGAGCATTTTTTGCAAGTAAGAACAAGGACAAAATAAGCAATGCTCTAAAATTAAATCTTAAAAAAAAATAAAGTGTACTTCCCTATCCTGACGTAAGCAAAATGCATTACAAACTTAAGGTACCATGAATCAAAAAGACAAGTTCTGTTGGAGAACAAGAAAAGGGTTTCAACCTAAACATTCTCTCTCCCATGAGGGAAAAAAAAACAACCCCAAACCTAATACCAAATATAAACCAAGGGCTGAAACTCTAACAATTTACTGAGCCTTTCTTGAGGCTAAGTGCTGAAATGTAAACGACTGCCCAGTTGAGGGTGCAGGTCAGAGATGGTAGATACAATCTCATTCCTTCCAGCTTCTACTCTAGGGAATGTATCATAAAGATCACATATGACCTCTTTTCTTAGCCACTGCTCTGGAAACTTGCAGTTAATTAATTTTACCCCATTCAACATACAGGTCTAGGACTCTACCCAAGTGTTTTTTAGTGAACATCCAGCAACAAATGCAGGCTTCCCCACGCTTAGCTAACAGTTTGTAACAATGATTAGCAGCTCCTTCCAAGGTCTCCACAAGTCACTCAGAATCACAGCCTGCCCCTGGCACTCTAGAGGGGGTCCTTTCCAGGCACCAGACTTCTGCAAGTAGTAAATCTTTGACAAAATATACATAAAACTTCCAATTCATTTACCCAACATAGGGTCTTCTTAACATCAAAACTCTACAAAAGCACAACTGGCTTAACTTCTTCATGGTCTTGGTGCATGTAAATTACTTCAACCTAGACAGAGCATCCAGAGGAGAGAATATTTTATGGTACAAATTACAATGGATATCAAAGTGTAATGCTAAATTGCAGCATCAGGGTTTAAATACTTTACTTACACTTTTGTTTGCAAGACCAAGGTCTTAGCCACAGAGTGAAATAACTGTCAGAGTACTGTATCTGAAAATAGGATGAAATGGTTCTTAGAATATAGTACCAGAAATCAAGGGTTCTGTCAAACAGTAGTAATAGCCCTAAAAATCTCCACATGAACTTCTGAAAATGAAAGGTTGATTTATAAAACCTAGTAAAACTCTATGTCAAACAAAACAACATTGTCTAGGTCTCTTTATGTGGCCTGCCTGGGCAACCAGCCAATAGACTGAAATAGTTTAATATTATATAGAAAAACCTACCTGTAAAATCAATCACAGTAAGCTCTGTACAGGAAGTTCAGGGCAAGGGTGAAGTAGCCAGTTATAAAGCGTTGTTCTTGTGTTAATCATCTAGTAAACATGCAGTTCTTCTCTGTGGTTCTTTCTTTAGATTAAACATGTCTGACAAACACCCACAGGAAACCGTAAGTAAACATCACCATTTCATTGCTCCTGAAAAAAACACAAACCAAAGTATCAGAATATAAACTATAAAAATGCAGTTTTCATTTTAGATGGCATGGGAAGCTGTCTTTGTTATCTACATGTTATCCCGCCAAGAAGCATGCCATTGCAGTCAAATTTTTTTAATTATTTAAGCATGAAACATGTTCCACACTACTCATATGAAATGAGGAATAAGTCATTATGTTTAAGAGCAAGGTAAATTAACTACATCTGCTTACTGGTGAGAGTAAAGAGCAGGCAAACAGTAACTTGGAGTTATGACCTCTCCTCTGAAATGACTTCTGGCCAGATCCAGTGAAGTAGTTAGGCCAAAGAAAGGTACAGATGTTCTAAACTATGATATGAACAATCTCTGCTCTGCTCGGAAGTAACACTTAAATTTTGCTTCTGATGACTCCCCAAATTTTACATAAAATGGAAGTGTACTGATCATACATAATATATCCAATGACTATACAATGCTGTTGAGGGCAGAAACTAGGTCTTTCCCCTTCTACATTAGCATCTTAACTGTGCTCTGTCTGTCCCAATCAGCTTGAATCTACAGCTGTGCCCTGTCTCAGCCTTAATAGGAAAAGCCTGTGAATTTGGTTATAAGGATACTCCTCTGGCAAATGGACAATATGGATTTCAACTCCCTTGAGGCTGCAGTTGAAGAGGATACATGTTTCCTACTACTTGACTAAATGGTAGCCTATTACATAAAGCAGAAGTGTTTCACTTGCAATTATACAGCAGCTGTAAAAGGTTCTGGTTTATAAATCTCAGCAAAAGAGAAATACTCCTCTACCATCCTAAAATACTGCACCAGACTTCAGGGTAGGAGGAAAGCATCCTCCCCACATTTCCTACTGGCAAGCTTCCTTTCCCTCTGTATTGTCTTGGGATCCTAGGCATCAGCTCTGGTTTTCCATGCCACCCAAGGGACCAAACGTGTAATTTATCAACCCCACCTATTAAAATCTATTGCAATTTCTCCTTCTGAAAGTAGTGATAATTTCTACCTCACAGGAGTGCTGACCCTTTACTGGAGTGTAAGTAGAGACCGAAAGAAACTTTTGCTTTCCTCAGAAGCAGAGTAGTACAGACTACTCTCATTATACAGTGAAATAGCTGATTGCATCCCTCATGCTTTTAGATGACCCACCATTCTACACAAACCCCAACCCTAGCTGACCTGAAAGTATTATATATTTAAAGATGCAGACCCTCTAAATAGAGGGTTGCTCTTCATCCTGCTAAGAATAAAAAACAATACAAGGAAGAGTGGTCATATGTGATGTACACATCAGAAATATTTTGTTCAATTTATGGAAATACCTGTCTATTGTGATGTACATGTTACCTGCTGATCTACACATTTCATCTGGCTGAAAAGGATACTCATTATGTTTGTGACAAATAACCTTTAAATCCTTGGGAAATCACTGAAAATGAAAGCCCCACAAAGACGTGCTGAACCTGAAGAGATCCATTCTCGCTGAAGCAAGCAACAACCAGGATGTATCCCTATCATAGCTCATTATTTCTGGGTAACCATTGTGGTGCTTACAGCCAGGCAGGGATCAGCAGGCCTTGGTGGCAGGGCATCACTTCACCCAGACTTCTGCCTGGGCACTGCAGCTCTCCACACAAAAATCCTTCTTCCTGCTCTTCCAGCTCCACCATTGCTCGAGCCTAAATAAGGCGGGCACATGCCTTTGGCGTTTTGGGATACAGACAGATGTCTACCAGTGCCTCTGTTAAATCTGCCAAGCCTTTTCATTTCTGACCCAAGTCGCTCAGCTCTGTAACAACCCCCTCGCTGTATATTAAGCCCCTAGTTACATTTGCTGTCTCCACTGAGGTATCCGACAACCCATTCGTCTTTTGACTGGTTTGCAGCATCCTGGATCACCTTGTTTACTGAAACGGGTAAAAAGCTCTAGAGAGAGCTTTCTTAATATATTCAGAACTTAAATAGGTCAAGACGACTGGACTAAGAAAACGCTGACCCGCATTTAGGAAAATTTTTCCCCTCTCCTAACCTTAGATAACGTCCGTTTTCTGGGCCATACCACGGCAGCGGGCCACCCTCGGAGGCGGCCACAGCCGGCAAGGGCCCGCCGTCCCTCGGCGCCAGCCGCCCCGGCCCCGCGGCGGGAGGGCCCCGGCCCCGCGGCGGGAGGGCCCCGGCCCCGCGGCGGGAGGGCCCCGGCCCGCCGGCAGACACCGCCCGCCCGGGGCCGCCTTCGAGCCACCCCCGCCCGCGGGTTTCCGCGGGAGAGGCCGGGCTCCCCTCAGCGGCTGGCGGGGCTGGCGCGCAAACCCCCGCCTGGGCGCCGCCGCCCCCTGACACCCTTCTGGCACCCGCCGATTAAAATGGCGCGTCGGCTGCTGCGACACAAGGCCCCACGAGCCGCCATGCCAGGCACCGCCGGGACGGGGCCGTGGGCGAGCACCTCCAGCGGCGCCGCTGTGGGGAGGAAGAGGGTGGGCAGGGGGGCAGAGCTCCAGGCCGCTCCGCGGCACAGCGACCCGGCCGGCGTTTCCCGGCGGGCAGGGGAGGGCGGCGGGGCGGGGCCGGGGGCGGGGCGAGGCGAGGCGGTGGCGGGTGGGGAGAGGGCGGAGCGTGGGCCGTGGTCCCCCGCCATGGCCAAGCACGTTTTTCTCACGGGACCCCCAGGTAACGGGGGCAGGAGGAGCGTGGGGAGCGGAGCGGGGCTTGGGGGGGGGGCGGCCGGCCGGCCCGGCCCGGCCCGGCCCGGCCTGGAGGTAGGCGGCCGCCGGCGGGGCTGTGAAGTGCTTAAAGGGGGGAAAAAAATAAACTCTGGTATGGCTAATCCTGCTTCAATTAAACCGCAACCATTAATAATTTCTGAGCATTCATCTCTTCTGTAACTTAATTGTAATGATTTAGTGCTTCCAAACCTAAATGATCAGTTACAGGGTAATAATTGGTGTCCCAGATGGGCAGGCCCTGATTGAAGCAGTGGAGTTGTTTATCATGAGAGGGGAATCTGATTATTGCAGAGGTAGAACGGGATACAGTATGAGGGTCGAACTATAAGGTTGATGAAGAAATAAGCCAGTTACGATTGCAAAGCTTTCTTTTGTGGCCTGGAAGTAAGGCAGTGGGCCTAACTCTCCTTTCTGTGAGCCTATTGCAGATGCCTGTCTTGTCTGGAATTAATTTAAAATGCTACTGCTAGGCTGAGATAGCAGTACATTCCACCCACTTCATTCTGCCTTTCAATTCATTTGAATAAAGACAGCCCTCCGGGGGAGGCAGAGGTTAGGCCTGCTTAGGCCTCCCCTCTGTCCATTTAACTGAAGGTGAATGTACTGCTTTGATTAGCTAAATGCATAATGTTAAGCTTTCTTAAACTTAGTTTGAAACGTTTTCACTTTCTTTGACAATTTACTGAATGGAGGTAACCAAATTAGAGATAGCAAATCTATTTAGACAAATTAGCGTAAAGTCATGTCCAGAAACAAGGCCTCGGGAAGGTGGTAGATACTGGTGGTGCCACATTTGTCATTTTATTTTTCAAATGTCAGGAATCCCTTTGGCTACAGTGTTGAAAAGTTTGCTTAATAGTTTGACTAGGTGCCCTTGAAGCCACAGAATATTTTGCCATTGATATTGACTGTTAAGAAAGTAGTTCCTAAGTCTACTTAAAATCTGAGGGAGGAATTCGGTATATGCATATTGGAATGATTTCTGTTGACATTTTTAGGCACCTCACACTTGGTCTATATTCCTTGTCTCTAGGATTTTGAAGGTTTATTCTGCAGGATATTTTCTATCTTCTGATTTTTTTTTTACAGCGATGATTAAAAATTAAGTAGTAACACTAAATTTTGTGAGAGGCAATAAAGTTGAGTTTAAAAGGAGATTGTCAAGAGATGTACTTGTGCAATGGCAAAGGAGAAGAAATAGCTCCTTTGTGGGAACTGAGAGGATGTCTGGAACATGGCCAACATTCATGTCATAGAAGATACATCAGACTGTGCTAGGAGACATCATATGGTGAGGGTTTTGGGGATATGTCTTAGGGTAAGAAAATGGATTACGGGACCACAGGATAATTGATGTGAGAAAGGACTTCAGGAGGTGTAAAGGAGGGTCAGCTATGAGGCCAGACCAAGTTGCTGAAGGATTTTATCCACTCAGGGCTTGAAAACCTCAAAGAATGTGAAGACTGCATAGCCTCTTCGGGCAACCTGCTCCAGGGTTTGATTGTCCTTGAGATAAAGAAGCTGCTCCCTGTATCTAGTCAAAACCTCTCTTGCTTCAACTGCTATAAGAAGCATGCTGCTTCTTTTGGAAATACCTTCTGCCATGTAGGACCCGATATGTCGGGGACACTGGGTGCTTCTGATTTCTAGGACATCAGTGGAAGTAGTGTGTCCTTTGTGACAGCTAGGCTCCTGGTAATAGCAGTCAGCTTTGACCTTACGATCTAAAAAGGGGATGAATTCAGCTCTGATCTTAAAAAGTAGTGAATAGAAGTGGTAGAAAGGGAGATTCATCAGTCAGTCTTCAGCTAGCTTGGATATCAGCTCTGTAACAGTAGGGCTCTCATATATTTATGTGTCTTGGGGCAAGCTTTAAGGTCTACCTGTGCACTATCTAAGCTAACAAGTTCAGTGGTCTCCTTGGATATTTGTACCATTCTGTTTTGACTTCACTGTAGACATACTTCTTAAAGGCTAATGAAACATGACAGTGTCAGTACAGGATGAACCTCAAAAGGTGCTTCTGTTCTTTCCTACCATTAAAAAAACCAATTTGTAAACTTAAAAAAGTAATCAATATTCCTGCTGAACGAAGTCATTACTGTGGTGTTTAGAAATAGGCTTTTAGTGTAGGAGAATAATGCTGTGTGCTTTTTGTTTTATCTTTATTTTTAGGGGTTGGAAAGACTACTTTGATCCAGAAAGTCACTCAAGCTCTAAAATCCTCAGGCGTTCCTGTTGATGGATTTTACACCGAGGAAGTTAGAGAAGGTGGCAGGAGAACAGGATTTGATGTTGTCACTTTGTCTGGAGAACGAGGACCTTTATCTAGAGTCAGGTACCGAGGTTTTAATAACTGTAAGGGGCTTATTGTTTTATGTTTGTGCTCTGGTCTGTCAACATGTTAAATGCTCTTCCAGAAGGTCATTTCCAGCACACGTATGACTTTCATGGTCAGGTTCTTTGTTCAGTTCTTGTGTCCTGACTGATAACCTGTATTGTGTTTGTAGACAGTGAGTATATTGCATAGTGAAATATTGAAAATGTGCTAGGGAAGGGTGTTTCTCTTACTGCCTATTTTACACCAAATATAGAGGAAGCACTGCTGAGCCTTTTATTGTGAGGCCAAGTCCCTGGGATACAGCAAGTAGCTTATTGTAGGCAGAGAGGAAGATTTTTTGTTTCCACCAGCTAAGTTATAGAGATGGAAGTGGAAAATAAATGGGAAATTGCATATGACATTGCTTTAAAGAGCCACTGACTGGCCCACAAAACCGACATGGGAGTTTTAAGAAAAAGAGGGTTTCAGACCCCCACTAAGAAGGATGCTTCTGAAGTGCAGAGGGGCTCACAGTCTCTCCTGATTCACTAAACTTAGCTTTTCACCCTTTATGCAAAACTTAGTCTAGGTCCTGGTGTGACGTTAGCACCTCGTTCAGACATAGTTGATCTGACTAAATAGTTTGCACACTGCTAATAAAGAAGGTTCACCTAGGATATAGCATGATGCAGCACATGCAAACTGAGTATTTTTCCAAGATTGGTTAGGGGTTTTATAGGCCATATGGAAATTTGGGGTACTGCTGTGGTGCTGTCTGTAGTGTCACATTACCAAATTCAAAGATCTGAGCTGCGGGCGTGTATTTTGATTTCAGTGTAAATAAACTTAATGGCTTCTAGATCCCATTGTCCTTCCGTACACTGTTCAAATTTGAGCTTACATAGTTGTGAAGGTATCTTGTGGTATATTTATTATCTGAAAGAATGGTATCTGCAGTATGACTTAATGGATGGATTACAGAGTGTATTTCCTTTTCTTAGAACTAAGGGGATTTGACTTTAATAACTTCTCATAAATCCACCTGAAATGACTGCAGTGTATTATCACTAAATTTAACACTTAGAAGGAATTGTGTATCTCTCTTTCAAATTTAGTTCTGATTCTTCTACTTCAAGACGTGAATATCGGGTCGGACAATATGTTGTAGACCTTGTTTCATTTGAGCAGTTGGTTCTACCGATGCTGAGAAATGTGAGTATTCTATGAAAGCTGCTGAAAAATGGATGCTTTATGATAATAGGTGTTATTGGAAGGCCCTTCTAGAGCCCTAATTTTTGATATTAATAAATGGCTTGTTTGTTGGTTATCACTGCTTCTGTCTGACTTCAGGGTCAGGAAGCTGGTGGGGCAAATCTGTCTTGTTCTCTTGTGCTTATTGTGGTGTTGGAGAGATTGCAATTCCCACCTCAATTCTTAATCCGACATTGTCCTGTGAGCAGGACCTCCTTGGCCTGAGAAATGGCTGAGAGGAGGTTTCTTCCTATGCCACTGTCTTGTATATTGGAAAGCAAACAAAATGTAGAAGTGGCTTAGCATGCAGAACTGGATGGAGTCAGTGGGTCAAAGAAAAATGCTTTTGCTGCTGCTTTTCTTCTTTACAGCCTTTTTTCCTCCCTTTTGTTCTGTTTCCCATCTTGTTCCAGTAGAAGCATTAGTTTCTTGAAACCAGTGGTTATTTTTGATGACTACTGTCTAAGTACCTGCAGACTGGTAGTTTTTAACTGAAAATAGCAGTGTGATAGTTCAGGATTTAGCCTGCTGCACAAGGAGTGCTCTGCCTGTGAAAAGACTTTCCACACAGTCTTTTTCCTATCCTCCTCTGACATTCTGTTACTGCCTTTTTCCTTCTCCTTCCTCTCTCAGTCCAACCTTTCCCCTCTCCAAAATTAAACAAGAACAGATCTGATTTTGGCAATAACATATCACAAACAGTGTGCAGCAGCTGCTGAACTGTACTACTACGAAAACCCTATTGTGATTTTTCTACACTGCCAAAGCTCAGGGGGCCAAGGAAGAAGGCACTGCTTAATGAACTTCAAAAGAACAAAATGCCAAAGAGTTGCAAGGAGCAAAAATGAGATTGAGGATCTGATTCTTGTTTTTGTCAAGGAACATTAAAGTCTGAGAGTAGGGAAGCAGAGACGTTGTGGGCAAGGGAAAAAGGAAATATGAATAAAATAGGACAATTTTTATATGTTTAATTTTACTGTAACTTGATTTACTATGTTAGTAAATAGAAGGATAGTTTAATAAGCCTTCATTAAGCCAGTGCTGTACTTGGAATCCTTTTACTGCTGCATTAATACGAAGTCCAGGAGAGATCTTGCTAGAAGGGTGTTAGCAGTATTGAATTTTTCTTGTTGTTTTATAGCTTTCTGCAAGTACAAGAGAAGAATAAAAGGGGCCAGCAGGGTCGGACAGTACATGGCCCTGTTCTCATTGAAAGCACTATTAATCAGTTTTATGGGAATGTGGTCGTGCGTGTAGGTGGCACAAAATGGGAGAGGAGGAGAGTGAGGAAGATCATAGAACTGAAACAAGAAGAGGCAAATGAAGAATGAGGGCAGGAGAGTCACAGGTATGGTCAAGTTTGATCAGAGAGCAGCACAGAGTGGGCATGTGCCCATTTAGTTTTGAGAACAGCTTCAGCTCTTAAGGCTTGGATCTCCTTCATTCCAGTGAGAACAGGGGTAGATCCTACAATGGATGATCCCTCTGGTTCTGGAAACTTTACCAGGCAGGACTGAGGATTTTTTTTCAAAGCAGAATGCTCTGTTTCTGAGTGTGTGACCTAGTGACTAGTATTGGCTTTTTAGCTCACTGATCTGTGAAAGGATTTTAGATAAAACGGTTACTCAGCAGGGACTTAGCTTGAAAAGATTTTTAGGATGCATCTTACACAGTTCTTCCACTTCCCCAGAAGCAAAATACACAAGGCGAAGCATTTAGATTTTTTTTTTGTTTTTTTTTTTTAGATTCTGTATAATATGGCTTATATTGGTATATATTCATGGATCTACAGTGGCGTTTTGACTTGAGGTGGTTTCCTCCTCACTTCTATAAATAATGGAGTACGTTCTTGGTTACTTTTACCAAGAGAGGGTACTTCCTTCTCTGTTGAGCTTTCCAAGTTGCCTTTCCCTCAGTGGGATGAACTTGTGTTCTTTCCTAGACTTCCCTGCTGCTCACACCAGTCAGCAGCACGGTACTATTCGGCACAGTATTCACTTCATGAAGAACGCAAACATGCCACGAATGTGGTTAATCGCTAGTACGGTGCCTATCCTATCTATGATCCAGGGGGTGAGCTAGGACTATAGAGTAAACTATATCTTGACAAAGAAATATATGTGACTGTTCTAATGTGAGAGAGGCTTGGAAGCGTCTTGATTGTTATCCAGATAGCTTTGAAGCAAGCTAGTTGTTCAAAGAGAAATTCTAGTTTTGATCCAGCTACAAGAGGAGAAACTTCCAAAGCTAGATTTAATGCAAGTCTTTTTTTTTTTTTTTTTTTTTTTAATACTTGTGTGGTGTGGATATTGATCTATTCTAAATGTATAATTTGATGGGAAGAGTGAAGTTTTGAAAAATTGGTGTCCTTCTGGTTAGAGAGTGCTAGTAACCAAAGTGAAATTCTTAATTGTCAAATAGCTCGTGTGGGACCACTGTGAGAATTCTACTTTGAAGAAAAACTGATATTATGGCTGTTTCATATTGTAATTGGTATTTGTACTGTACGTGTATTTTTATCTTTCCAAAAATCTGTGCTGAAATAGAAATGTTAGATTTGTAAGTCTGTCAGCTACCAGCAGCCGCTTTCCCCAGTATTGCAATTGAATTGATTTGGTTTGGAGGTCCTTTTTTTTATTAGCATAGAAATTATTCCTGTTGCTTGTTCTAAGTTCTGTGTTGTTTACAGTCTCTTGATACACTTTTCCCACAGGTAAACCATGGCAATGATGCAGAGAAAAAAATTTGTGTCATAGATGAGATTGGTAAAATGGAGCTCTTCAGCCAGGCTTTTATTCAAGCTGTTCGTCAAACGCTGACTTGTTCGGGGACCATGGTGCTTGGAACTATTCCAATACCTAAGGGAAAGCCACTGGATCTTGTTGAAGAAATAAGAAGTAGGAAAGATGTTAAAGTGTTCAATGTGAGTAATATTTAATATCCTTAAAGAGCCTTCTGTTCTAGGTTGCTGGTTTGTATTTGGCTCTGTTTAAAAACTTAACTGTTACTACCAATGATAGCTGTGGGTAGCTTGTATGAAATAAGTTTTTTAGTTTCCATTTTATACTTAATGGGCAGGTGTTCACCTTATTAAAAAAAAAAATCACATTTGGCACTTACTGTAGCAGTCTCACACAGCTGGCTTTGCTTGTGAGGGGCTGTAGAAGTAATGATACAGTTGTTTTAAAAGGTTTTCTTGCTATAGTATTATTGCCATATAAGTATTCATTATTCCTAAGAGTTAAATCTTTTAAAATGCAGTCAGATTTCTTTTTTTTTTTCAGAATAGCTTGCAGAAATATTGCCAGTAATCATATTCAAGGAAAAAAAAAAAAAGGGGGGGGGGGCAGAAAAAGGCAGCAGTCGATTTTGCAGAAATGATTTCTAGAAGAAAGACACTTATAAATGGAGTGTACTTTTTCTGGAATCAGTGAAGCAATTTTGGAACTCATGTTATTTTTATAGACGTAATTTTCATAATATTGTGGCCTCAAAGTGCATTTCTGATAGGTTACAGGGAGGTTTTCAAAACTTACCACAGCAAAACATAGCTTGTTCACGAGAATACATGCATCAGGTTTTCTTAACATCTGTAAGTGTCCTGGATGCAAAAACAAAACCAAGCTAAACGCAGCCCCCACTCCTTTGATTTATATGTCTGCTCAGTGCATACTATTTGTAGTAGAGAATAAAGATACATATCCAGTACTGAACTGTGTATCTCTATAAATTATAAATTCAGTAAGTGGGACTTACATATCCTTACTTACTAACGGGGGTAATATGCTGTAGAGCAGTATGCTGTTGCAGCCTGTTCTTTATCAGAGGCATGCCACAGTGAGAATGCATACTTTGTTTGCATCCAAATGAATGAGGAAGGCAAAAACACTATCTCAACAACTTTATACTGGATGATCTTAATTACTGCAGAGAAAGCAAAGGCTCCATCATTTATTTTTCTCTTCAAAGTGAGATTAATAAAATTGCAGTGCTCAGAAAAGTTCCTCAGCTTTCTTTTAATTGGTGGTCCCATCATCATCTTTAATTTCTGTTTTTTAAATTAAATACTTGTTTAATTAAGTGCTAAAGCAATCTTAGGAGCAAAGATGAGAGAAAATTCCTTTCTTCGTGTAAGCATTCAATTCCTACCAGTGCTTTTGGAGATAAAACCTCAGGTTTCCCACTGGCAAGCTGATGTGTGTTAGTTGTCAGGCTACTGAAGAGGGATGCACGCCAATGGGAGTTTTATATGACTTGCTTTACCAGTGGTAGGACTGGGGAAGAGGGAATGGAGAATGCCTTACTGAAAGTAACAGTCATTCAGTGCTTTGGCCGCAGTCATGGCGAGGCAGGAGTGTGCACTTGGCCCTCTCAGGGGAGGAAACTGAGTGCTAGAAAACAGCATTTGGCTTTTCAAGAAGCTTTTGAGGCTTCCGCTCTCTATCAGGTGATGTTCTGAGGGCACGTGCCACTCAGCCCCAGGTTCTTAGCTGTGTCTACCTGCCGATACATGTTTCCGTTAAGTACTGGCTGCAGCCAGCAAAAGTCTTCCTGAAATTTCAATGGAGCAATGTTTTCTCTACCAAAAAAAAAAAAAAAAAAAAAATTACTAAAAAAAATGAGCCATCCTGTTTGTGCTGCTGAGATTAGGATGTGCAGGTTTCTCTGTTTAAGTAGAGTTCTCCGGTGAATCCACTAGCCAAAAGCATGGATGTGAAACGTGTGACAGACTACAACAGTTCCAGGGTGGCAGAGACCTCCTGTGCTGAAGGCTCGTGCAGGAGAGCGTCTGCCTCGCTTGCTGCAGTGACGCGCTGCGTGCTCTTTCCTGGCTAGTTAGAACGTGTACGTGAGCAGGAGCAGAACCTGCCCGTGGGGAGCCAGAGGTGTTACTGGCTGAAGTAAATACGGAATTGCCATCTCTGTTCTTCAAGGGCTGTGGCATGGTGAGAACCTGGAGTGCCCAAATGCTCATGGTCAGTTATTTCTTACTAAATTTTATGGTGCCTGGAAGTGTGCAGAAGTAGGTGGCTACCTTCCAAAAAAGTTCTGCCTGCTTTGTTACTTAATACAGAGTTAGGCTGCATTCAAGTAACTCAGCAGAGTTTTCTCATCCTTCTCTTAGTGTCACAAGGACAGTTGTGATGTTTGGCACTAATTGCAGAGAGACGGCTGTTTGGGGTTTTACAGTCCCTCTGCTTTGAAAGCGTATTCAGTTGGTGTAAACGGGCCCAGATGCTCTAAAAGCAGCCGAGCATTTGGTCCCAAATGTTTATTATGTTTAGAGCACTTCACTGTAGGAGCTCTGATATTTAACACGTTTCTTTCCATTGTTGCCCAGTTCCATTTTGCTGAGAGCTAAACTTTCCAATGAAACTACAGAGGCTCATTTTGCACGGCCCAAGTCTGTGTCGTTTTGCAGACACAATGTTATAAATAGGATCAGATTACCCTTAGCTGCTGGCACATCTTCATTTTCTCCCATTTTCCCATCTATTAATGTTGATTCCATTAAACCCATTAGTGAAGTTCGGGTGCATATATGCCTTCTAAGAAAGAAAAGAAATAATTAAATGGATCAGAGGAAGAAAAGGTTCCATTTGAACAGACTGTACAAGAGAGGTTTCCTTGACAATACTTTTTTCAACAAGTAAGGGAAGAAAGCTTTTGTCCTCTGCAGTTACTTGCTTAGAGTCTAGGTAGTAGTTTCTTCCCGATTACCTAAACGCTTAGTATAAGCAGCATCCACAGTTATTTTCAACTCCCTGTCTAAAAATGTACCCGTCTGTTTGTACCTTCAGTAGTGATACTGGGAGATTTGTTCTCTCTGGGAAAGCTGCCTGCACAAAATGTCTCCACAACTTAAGAGGAGACTTATATCTATCAAAAAGCCTTTGTAAAACAGTTGTGAAAATTTCCCAGCACTTGGCACTTTCTCCTTGCTGCTCTCACTGGGCTTCTGGCATGGAGGTATGGAAAAGGGATAGATAAAATGTAGTATTGTTTTTGTTGGCTGTGAGACAGTGAGAAGAGCTATTAAATGTTCTGAAGGTCCTTTGAAAGTCAGGATATCAGACACTTGCTGTGAGATTCAGAATTTGGCTGATCTATGCTCTGTGCCTTGTTTACCTTGGGGTGTCTCAATGGCCTTACGGAAGAGCTGTTCCATTCTTTGTTGTCTGGCTCTTATTGTTACTGTGGGGTTTTCTGTTTATCTTATAATAGGCTTGGAATGATACTCGATAAAGACAGCAACATTTTCAGGCAGATCTTCCCTTTCATTCCCTTTCTTCGGTTTGGTTTCTTTTTTTCATCAGACCCATGTTGATCTGCTCTCTTGAATTCAGGTGATGTAGGTGAGACCGCAGTCTCCAAGTTGGTTTCCTGCATTTGCATAGGTTGTCTGTGACTGTACATAGCAGTAGGCTCCTAGGCCCAAATTCTTCAGGTAGGACTGTCACCTATTTAAAAATAACAATAATACTCTCTCCTGCTTAGTATTGACTGTAGTACTGAAAGGGATACAAACCCTTGTGCTCAGATCTGAGATGCAGCTACAGGGAATGCAGTGAAACCTTGCTGGTGGAGAGTTTTGTGCCATGGGTAGTGTGGTGTCTCTCCTTCCTTGTCAAACAGCATTTCTCAAACTTTGTTAAAAATATGAACTCCCTTACTTTTTTTTGACTCGTCTGCCTTTGTCTGATTTCTTCCTGCCCTCTCTGCAGGGATCTGAACAGTGGGGAAAATTTCTTAGGCTTTCTAAAATGAGGCTTTTGCTGACACTTCACAATTGCATGTTAACCCTTTCACCACCCCAGCCATCTCCCCAGGTTTTGATTGAGTTAGTAATGCCTGGCACTGTGGGTCACAGGGCTCTGTATCAGGACCCAGTCTATCAGGAAGGGGTAATTTACACCCCCAGCTCCCTCTGTGGCCCCCCCAGCTCTGTGCTCTATCGTTGCGGCACCTGGGAGCTGAGCTGACTAGCAAGTGCTAACATTTGCCTGGCAGTTTACAGTAATCTGCATGTGCTGCAATGCAGATGGGCCCAGCAAAAGGCAGGACACTGGACTATATGGATTTTCACATGTACTGGTCTTAAAGCCCAACATTTCCATGGACTGGTCAACCAAAGGTGTACCTTAGTGTGCTACAAAAGCCCCCCAGCTTTCTCAGGTAGTCTTATTTCTTTTTCAAAGTGTTTCTGTCCTACAATGTTAAGGTTTCTGCTTTAATTTTTTTCACTGCAGATGTTTTTGTCTAGGTCTGTTATCCTAATAAATACAACCCTTTCAAGTACTGAAGGCATAAGGACTCCACTTTGTAGTAGGAAAATTGTATTTAGTAATTAAAAAGGATTTCTAGTAAATGACAAAAGTACATGCTGGTTCTTCGAGTGATTCTTGCTAGTTATTCAAACCCTGAATAATACTGCAAAAAAAAATGTGTAATTAAATCAAAAACATCACTGAATGTTCAATTTCATATGCAGGTTTGTGGGGTTAGCTTTATTATGTTCTCAGTAGCAGAAGGCAGCAGGTGTTTGACACTCATCATTCCTCCTCTGAGAAAGAAATGCGTTTGAATTTCTGCTTTGTTTGTTTTTGAAGTAAACACCGATACAGAGGTTATTCATCAAATTACATCAGTTTTAATTTCTCTTTCTCTAGGTTAGTAAGGAAAACAGAAACAGCATTTTGCAAGACATCTTGGCAGCTGTAGAATCCTGCAGAAAATGAAGACCTTTTCTTGCCGTTAAACACAAAAGGTTTTATTTTAACAGAACATTACAATATTTTGCGGATGTTTTGGAGCCTGTCCTTCCTGCTTTAGCCCCTGGAGGCTTCACTGGAGCCTTCTGGGTAAGCAAGGTAAAGCTGGTAAATACTCTAAAATGTGAAAATGAGATAGCAGGATTCTTGTTTATTAGTTCACAAGCTGATCCATTCAGAAAATTGAACGGATGTGTAGTTAACGTCCAGTTCTAATCTGGGTATTTGGGAGTTAGGCGGTCTGACTCTGGTCTTAGTTACACCAAGTAAAAGCAATTAACTGTCAAATCTATTGGAGATCTCAGTCTTTCAGAGTGTGGTGTGGACTGTTCTGCCTGGAGGGCAATTGCCTATCTGGAGGGTAGCCCTGGTGTGACAGAACAGAACCCTGCCCAAGGCGTGTGCTCTGCCCGGTTTATGTAGCAGTGTCTTTGCTGCCGGTGTCGCAACTTTGGCGTGTCCCTGTGTGCCTCAGCATGGCTGCTGACGATTCATGAGGTAGAAGGAATAAGCAGATGCTCTGCCCCTACCCTCAGACCCCCTTCTCTCCAGTTGCAGTATAATAAACGTTATCTAGAATTTCAAGGAAGTTTCTTGGAGTTCCAAGTGACATTTACAGAATTCCACTTCAGGAGGAAAAATAACCAACTCTACCCTTTCCTGAGTGGCCCAGACAGTAGTTGAGGGCCACATTTTGTGTTTATTTTCAAGTTTCTGGTGGCAATTCTGCCTCTCAGCCCCTTAAACATATATATATATATATATAAATCTTCAAGTCCATGAAGTTCAGTCAAATCTTGACTTACATGTTTCATGTAGAGTATATTAAGTCAGGATTGACTTAATACTGCATTTGTCTATATGGGTTTTACAGTCTGTTATGTTTATTGATACTTTTTGTTTGGTTGGGCTTTTTCCTTATTCAATTCTATACATATTTAATGGTGAAATAAGAAGTGTTTGAGAGTATTAGACAATGTGTTTCCATATGAGGTGTGCAAATGTGTTCAGGAAAAGTGCTGCCATTTAATCAGAATTGCACGTTGTGAAAACAGAATTCCTTCCCAGCTGTACACTTCTTCATTGTAGAATTTATAGTCACCTCTGGCTGTAAAAAGTTGTTAAGAATTCAGTTGTTTCTTTTTTTTCTGTTCAGCTCAACAACTGTTAAAATGAACAAACTATTTAAAGACATTTTCAAACACCATTTTAGTTACTTATTTTTGTAAAACTGACACCCAAAGCTGTAGGGGGCTGGATGGGGACAGGTGTTTTTACAGGTGCCTTGGAAACACTTGGGGCATGGAGGAAATGTCCTTTCACTTTCCTATATTCAGAACAAGGGTGTGGTACAAACATTGTGCTCCACAGATGGTAGGAGGTGGGTGCCATGTTAAAGAATGCCATGGTGTTGTTCCCTGGCTGCCCCGTTACACGTTCTGCCCAGATCTGTTTGGGTGGCAGTAGCGTCTTCATCCTACTTGGCAAAAAGAGAATTCTTCCTGGGATCCCACTCCTTTGAAAGTGTACTTGGCTGCTTTTTGCAAAATAAGGCTGTGCCCTGAAGGTATCGCTAATCCATTATTTACTTCAGGCATCCTGCTCAGACAAGACACCTTGTTAGAGGTGCTGAAGGACTCGGGACCAAACTTCAGGGCTACGTGCCATAGACTTTGAAACAGAAACCTGTCTGCGCTTAAGTGTTGGGTGTCCTACTGTTTCAATGTCAAGTTTCTTCAACTGTGAAATATGCTGCAAAAAAAAAATCATTCTTTCAATAATTAAATAATTACCCAAAGTCTAGCAAGGTTTTAATGGAACTGCAGTTGAGTCTCACATGAGGACTGACCTCTAATGCTAAGAAAAATGGAGATATTTGACACTTCTCTGTAGAGGCTGGGGAGGGGAGCTCCTTCAGGAGTGGTGGCAGAGTTCAGTTTTCCAAATTCCAGTTCAGCCAGTATTGTTGGGAGTTCATCACTTATAGTGGTATTTGTTCCTCCTAAAAATAGATATATTGCCCTGCATATAGTGCCATGATGCCTACTGTAGTCCCATCATTTAATAGGCTGGAAAAAAAAAAAAAAGTAAAAAAGAATCATAACAAGTTTGGGGAGCTTTCAGCCAGTGCACTTCTAGTACTTTTAAGCCATTGTCTCATTGTGCAGGGAAGCCCTTCTGTAGCGAGGGTGGTTAGTCACTGGAGAAACTGGATTTTTCCTTCACTGGAACTGTGAGTGAGGTTTCAGCCCTTTTAAATCAAAGCGTGTTTTTGCTGTTGACATCAGTGGTTCTTGCTTTCTGCTACCTATCTCAAGATTGGTGAGAGTCTTTAATTTGTTGTTGTACTTTCTGAAAGCCCATCTTCTCCCTGAGCTAAAGTGCTTTTCAAGAGAAATAAAGAGAAATTTTGTGGACCGTGTTCAGCAGGAGATCCTAGATGACCTTAACAGTCATGTCTGGCCTTTAAATCTGAGACAGGCCTGAAGAAATGATTTGCCTGTTTCAAATATACATCGAGTGAGTGAGTGAGAAAGTAATATTTCCAATTGAAGTTAGTTTTTTATGATGCCCTGTGTTTACTTTTGGAGGTAGAGATTTATTTTCTGGTCTTGAACTAGTAAAATATTTGGAAGGCCTTGAGAGCATTGTAACAACAAACAGAGCATTTGCTATTCCCCTGATGGGCTGATTTTACTAATAGCACACATTTGGTGAAAATAACCTCTGATGTACCAGCAAGATTCCAGATGACAACATTAGTGCACCTGCAGGTTTTAATTGGTGCAAAAAAGGGGAGACTATGAGGTACCAATTATTCTCTCAAAGCCTAAGAATCAAGGATGTTTTTGGCAAGGAGGCTTGTAATTCCAACATAAAATTGCACACAGCATGGAATAAACAGGGCCTGCATTATTTATCATGCATTAGACAGTTTTTGACTTGTAAAACTCTGAGAAGGCTGAATGAGAGAGGTGAATCTTTAACACTGGACCTACTGCAAAGTTAATTAAAATAATATGTCTGTGTTGCAGATTTCAGGATGTACAAGCACTAGTGAAACATTGTAATTAAATACCAGCTCCCAATCCAGGGAGTAATCTAAATATGGCAATAATTGGGTAGTTAAAAAAATACGCATTGATGAGAAGATGATTATTACATGCAGGAGAATTTCACTGGTAATTCTAATGTTCTAAAATGAGCTGCACAAAATTCAGCTAATCTTTAACTTAAATTCCCCAGCAAGAGAAGAGCAGTCAGTTGGTGGGTTGGAGCCAAATGCAGATGACATTTCTTGCTTTATTCTAACAAATAGCTTTTAAAAAAAGCTGTGAATGACATCGCAGAGACTCCTAGGAACTTAATAGCTTCAGAATGTCATTCATAGATACTGAGAGTATCTGGCCATCTTGTCGTGGGAAAAAGACTCACAACAGTAAGTCCTTCTTGCTAACATTTGTCTTAAATGCAGTGAATGCCAAGATTTTCCATCTATGGGAATGAGGTGAGATTTTTCAACAAGAACTCCAGTTCCTCACACAGAAGTTTGTATGACACTTCAAAACGGAGGGAACGGCAGGATCTCGAGCATTTGTATTTTTGGATGAACGGAAATGAACTTGGTACACTGCACCCATCTCTGTTTCCCACTCGCTCGCTGCGGCGGGAAGCGGCCGGGCTGGAGGCCAGGCTGGAGGCCAGGCTGGAGGCCAGGCTGGAGGCTTGCCAGCGTACCTGGTGGGGGGAGCAGTTCAGCAGGCTGTGGTTGCCTTTGGTAAAGTGCTGCTAAAAATCATCTCGCCAGATCTTCGGGCCGTGCTTCAGCCTTAGGAGTGTAGCACCTGGCTTTTACCGTGTGAGGGAAACAAGAGCCTGGTAGCCAGAGGAAAGTTTAGGAAAACAACATGGGAGCGGGGTAAGTACCCCACATTTGATGCAAGGGCTGAAGCCCTGTCTTTGTGTTTGTTTTACCATCTACTCATTATCGTCCTTCCTGTAGCCTGCTGTACTGTACGTGTTCCTCTCTGGTTGTGAGGGCCCCGCCGAGCCCATGTGCATGAAAACACTCTCAGTGTGTCTTTTCAGCTGTGGTGATGTTATCTGGGGTTAAGCTGGGGGGAGGCAGAAAGGCCCTCCATCTCTTCATCTCCTCTGATACTTCTATGAAAGAACTGCACGTACCTAATGCTCTTGTGAATTCAGTGCATCATTTCCTCAAAGGATGCATTCAGCTCGCTAACGAGATGGGAGTGTCACTGCTTCAGGTTGTGGAAACAAGAAGGCTCTGGGCTGGCTGAACGAGCATTGAGCAGGTTTCTGCCTTCAACCCCTGCTCAATAAGCAGCCTCTGCAGCTCTGGAAAAATCAAAGCGTAGCACCTGCATCTTCAAAACTGACACAAAGTGAAACTGCATATAAAAGGTAGTCCTGTGTTGGTGGTGGCCATCCTTCCTGCATCACAGCTGTGGTAAGAGATCAGACGTGCAATGCAGGCAAACTGTTCAGCCTGAGCAACTGCAGGGCCAAGCTTTAACAAGTGTCATGCTTTGTGAAACCCGCCATCGGTGCCACAGCTGATTTAACAGCAGTGAAAGTTGCCTTTGCTTTTAATTCAGAGCCCCAAACTGCCCAACAAGGGGGGTGCTGGACGTGTCACAGGTACCTCCGTCTTGCAACTCTGAAGCACCTTGTGCGTGAGGTTGAGTACCCAGCTGTCGGGAATAAAAGTGTGGCTTAAAGCTGTTGTGTGTCTGTGGGCACTGGTGCTGAGAAGAATATTCCTACGGACTCAGGTGACTTTTGGTACTGTGCAGAGCTGTTCTGAGCAGCTTACTGTTGAAATTATGCCTTGGGTAAAGGTTAGGTATCTGTCAGCTTTGTGTGCATCAGAGCCTTAAATGCATCTTCCATCGTGTACAGAGTAAACGGGTCTTTCTCTACCTCACACCAACTTGGGGAGAGGTCGAAGATGTGTTTAATCAGCATGACCTCATACCTAGCGCCAGGTTTGATTTCTAACCATCATGTCTTAAGTTTCTGTAGGATTGGCCCATATTTACAAACACTGCACACAGCAGCAGTCTTATTGATAACAGCAGACTATCTCCGAAATTATAGAGAAATGTAATGCGAGAGCGTGTGCTGTCTTTGTTACTGTTGTTAATGGTCACTCTGGGATCTTTTCAACCCACTGTGCTACAGTAACAACTCTAGGGCAAAACAAAAACTGTGGAAGACCTGGCTACCAAAAGGAACTCATTTTTGAATCCTACCTTGACTCCTGC